AGCTCTGCAGCCGGACAGCAGCCTGGAGGGATCGGTTTTTATTTCAAAAGACAGTAAGACAATTTTTTTCAATTTAGTATCAAAACACTTGGTAAGGTTCTGTTCTCCAGATTGGCCCCTAAAACCGCTACAACCAAGCAGCATGCTCGAGCACAAGCTACACGCCACGAGCTTGACACATCTCCACACTCACGCCTCACAACAACTACACATCAGCAATGCACAGCAAGATGGCTTGTACCTTATTAAGACACTAAGAGCACTCCCGGCCAGGAGGGAAGGCCTCAGTTCCCTCCCTCAGGGTAGGCAAAAAAAAAAAAAAAAAAAAACTTCCCCAAGAAAAAAACAAGGCTGTTGTACTTAAGCTGTTATGTGTAACCCAGCAATGAGCGATAAAGCTTGGTGCGTCAGCACTTAGTGAAGGCAAATTGAACGCCTGTGTAGCGATGGGTTAGAGGGGCCGTGGCTTCTCTAAGCCTACCAGAAAAGGAAGTGGCCAACAGTGGTGGGGGAGGGAAGGGAAACAAACCCTGTGGAGGTTCAATTGTTCAGATAACAGGCTTGGCTTTTTTTTTTTTTTTTAAAAAAAAAAAAAAGTCTCCTTTTGCCCAAGTTGCTTCTCCACGATACAGAGAGTTACCTTAAAGCTGAGAAACTCAACTGCTCTTTTGGCAAACAGCTCCTGGAAAGGAAGTTTTCCCAACAGGCTTCCATCCCTGGCCTGGCTACTCTGATTCAGTGGCCCACAGCCAGGAACCGTCACACCCTCCTTCCTCCCCTGCCAAATCAGGGTGGCCCAGAGCTGATTAACAGAAGGTTAATACCGAATTTTAAAGCCAAGAGCTTTGAAGTGTAGCTCACCAGCCTCAGAGTTATTTGGAATGTTTACAATGGTTGCTACAAAAAAAGGTAGTTACAAAATGTATACATCTCAAACATGCTCCCCAAACATTATTGCATTGTTCATTTCCCTTAATAATGCTGTTTGAAGCTCTGCCCAACCTGATGGCCTTTAACCCTGAGGCAAAGAAGATTTGCGTTTGGTCAAGTTGGCAACAGAAAGTAAACTCTGGTCCCCAAGGGTTAGAGGTCAGCAGCGGCTGGGCTGGCCCCCCCAGGCATCGTGTGGCAGAGGCAGTGGCAGGGATCCATTACATCTCGTTCAGGTCTAGCAGGGTCTGGTCCAGCATTCTTTGCGTGCAGAGATGCTCCTCTTTGGTGGATTTCAGTTTATCTGGCAAGGAAGCAAGAGTCAGAGTTACAAGTCCACTTCAGACAACTGAGAAACCTTCGCCAAAGAAAGCTTGCGCTAGCCCCTTCCCAGCACGCTGCCGCAGCAAATCCTCAGACCGGGGGTGCCTGGCTGGGTGCAGCTAGAAGCTCTGAAGTTACCTGGCTCATTTGTAGCCCTTGCCTCTCGCATCGCCGGTGCTCCCAGTCGGCACGGTCACGATGTAGTTTTAGGCAGTGCTCTAGGCAGTGTTTTGCATGCAGGTGCCACTGACCGTAGCTAGCTTTCCCCAGGGCTTCAACACTTCCAGACAGCAGACCCCCGTGGCCCAGCAAGCCACCCAAGAGCAACGCAGAGGTAAACACACACTTAGAGATCACCCCCTGGAATTACAGCTGGTTGTGCCCCAGCCTTCCCCCCCCTCCAGCACAGGACAGAGATGCCAAGCTGGTCACCAAGACCGTAACTACCTAGCAGCAGGGAGCAGAAAACCATGCCTCAAGGACAGCGGGGAAGAGGCTGTTTTCAGTGAAGGGCAGGCAGGGAGCAAGTAAGAGCGAAGGTGCTGCGACTCTGCCCAAGACTACAGGCAGCTGCACAGTCAATTCTCACATGTTCCTTAAGCCAGGAGGAGAGCTCAGATCAGCAACTAGCGCTCTAGGTAGGCTTTACTCCAAAGGTGAGCCCACCCACATCACTGAAGATATCCACACGCTGGGACACTGGACAGACAGGCTGTAGAAAGATGTCCTTTAGGTACAGGCAGTTTCTCAAAGCCGCTCCCCAACCTCCCCAGGGTCACAAACTGTGCACAGAGCGAGAAGCAGCCTTCCTAGAGCACTAGCAACTGCAGCATTTAAAGATTTCCTGCAAGCACTCAAAACAGCTTCACGCTGTGGATTTTGGGATGTGCTTTCGAGATGTCCATGAGCTTTCCCAACCGGTTCTGGGGCTCTGCAGCTGCACTGGGGTCAGCACCCAGGAATGACCACTTCCCCCAAACCTTCTAGGTTAGCGCTCAACTATATAGGAAAGTACTACAGGTGTGCAGTGGTTACAGACCACGAGGTCAGTCATTTATTGTTAGAAGCCATCATTCCATGCAGCAGGAAATCCTACAGTCATTCAGCTAACAGTAAATTAAGTTGTAGCACTCAACAGGCATCTACTAGCAGACACAAGCCTAACTTCACCCCATCCCTCTCTTGGTGGTTGCAGCTAGTCTGGTTCCGTGGAGGAGCCAGGCAGGACGCCCTGGACAAGGCAACAAGACTGCTCAAAAAACAGCCAAGTCTGAGGGTTACTTCACCAAGAATAGAGGTTACCTTTATAAAAACAAAAAAACCAGCTCTTAAATAAATTAGAGGGTAAATTCAAGTGCCCCATTAAATAGCAGCAATTGCATAGAATTTGCAAGTCTGCCAGTCTTAAGAATGATCAGATTTCACTGTGGTCCACAGCACTGGTGGTCGCAATAAGCTTGCTTAATGGCATTAGTGGGCCCCCTTCTCAGTCACACAGATCATGCAGCGTTAACTTCAGCTCGTTAGAGAGCAGGCGGTTTTTCTCAAGCTGGCTGTACAGGCGCTCTGCAGCAGCAACAGGATTAGGGGAAACAAGAGGAAGAGAGAAAAAGAGAGAAAGGGAAGGTTAGTAGAGTACCAAGACGAGCACATCAAATAAGCTGTCTCCATAACGCGTGCCTCTGAGGATCAAGTCTAGGCTATTACACAGATGAAGCCAAGAAGAACAAAGGTTTGTCTCACTCTAACTTGTGTTTCAGCTCAGGAAGATCACAGAGGAAGCCAAGTGCAGACAGAAATGGAAGTGCTGCCAAGGGCTTGCGAAGGCAAAGAAAGGAAGAGGAGAACACCAGAAGAGGAGCCTGCAGGCTGAGCTGTACTTGGGTAAGGAGAGAGACTTGGAATCTACTTTAAGCCTGTGGAGCACTTTGCAGAAAGAAGTTGTCCTACCACAGCTGAACCAGAAACACCTTCCAGACTGGGTGCTCTGGTAACCCACAGCAATGGGCTTTAACAGTAGGACAGGGACATCAGAAGAACAGAGATTGACAGCATCTCATACCTGACCTGGAGGACACTCCTCCAAGGACATGCCTTTATGCCACACTAACAACCCACCACACAAGGGCTGAAGGCAGTATTTGCTTCAGGTACAGGGCAGAGGAAGTTCCGGAGCACAAGCTCCTACTTCATGTCTGCCCCAGAACAAGTAAACGAGCAGGGCACAAACCACCATGGCAGCTGACAGCCTTCACCTCCCACTCAGTTCCTGTCCTTACAGCCTTGCAGGGCTCTAGCGGCCACACTTGTCCCCAAGGCTGATACCAAGCACATGTGCTCATCAGCCACTCTAGGGAAAGGGAGAACCATTCTGATCATCTCCCAGAACAGGTCACCTCTCGGGGCTGGAGGGCCACTGTCCTGCCATGCAGCCTGTCAGCCATAACCAGCCACCACAGAGAACCAGTTCAGCATCTACCTTTGCGCACCTACACAGGGCTGTCAGGCTGGGAGGACCCTGCCCGATTCCTGCATTTGGGGGAATTCCAGGCAGTGAAAAATCCTTATACAACAGCTTCCAGCCTGGCAGAACTAATCATCATGAACTGTAGCAATACACACAGTGTGCTGGCTCCACCTGATGGGTGAGCATAAAGCACAGCAATTAGAATCACAGAATTGTCTAGGTTGGAAGGGACCTTTAGGATTATCGAGTCCAACCATCAACCTAACACTGCCAATACCACCACTAAACCATGTCCCTCAGCACCACGTCTGCCCATCTTTCAAACACCCCCAGGGATGGTGACTTCACCGCTGCCCTGGGCGGCCTGTTCCAGTGCTTGACAACCCTTTCAGTGAAGAAGTTTCTCCTAATATCCATCCTAAACCTCCCCTGGTGCAACCTGAGGCCATTTCCTCTTGTCTTATCACCTGTTCCTTGGGAGAAGAGACTGACCCCCTCTTGCTACACATTCCTTTCAGGGAGCTGTAGAGAGCAAGAAGGTCTCCCCTCAGCCTCCTTTTCTCCAGGCTGAACACCCCCGGTTCCCTCAGCTGCTCCTTGTACGACTTGTGCTCCAGACCCCTCACCAGCTCCATTCCCCTTCTCTGCACATGCTCCAGAATCGCTATGTCTTTCTTGTAGCATGGGGCCCAAAACTGGAGACAGTATTCGAGGTGGGATTCTTGCTGGCCTTAGGTATCTTCTCAAATCCTTGTACTACAAGGTCCCTAGGAATCTAGGGCACCCCCTGAAGGGGATCTACACCATTCTGCATTGCTTTCAACTTAGGAATATTTTGCTCTTGAACAAGTAAGATTAAGGCCTTAAGGCCAGGTAAGATTCAGGACACTGAGTCAAGCTGTTCACATGGAGCAGCCAAAGCATATCCCCCCTCTGCAGAGAGTCTCAGCCCAGACCCTCCAGCGTGACAGCCGCACACAAGGTGGGAAGCTCACCCTCGCCCAGCTGCCCTCAGCACCTGCCCTAGCTGCACCTCGCTCTGCAGGACAGGGGGTAGCAATGCTGATTGATTGTCCCTTCTTTAAAGCCACTGAGGGACCAAGCAACAGCCAGAGAAGCCAACAACTTCTGTCCCACTGCAATCTAACTAGAAATTGAGGGAAGTTGTGGTATGGGGGATGGGTACAGCCCACCCCAACCTACACCAGAGCCTCCCTGCACATCAGCTACCACTGCTGCTAGCGACTCATGCTCTGGCCTCCAGGCTGGTTCCAAGTAGGTAGGCTGGGCACTCTGATGCCAGTCTCCAGCCCAAGGTGATCAGAGCTGGTCCTGGGTCTCCAGAGCGATAGAGGATGGGAGTGATCTGCTATCAGAAGTACCAGTGACTGCAGGCTGGTGCAACAGCACACAGCTTTCAAGCAAGCATTACTGCTTGTGGTCAGGGACCTGATGATCCACTCACATGAGGGAGTAGACTGAAGTAATTAGCATGACCCTTCTCATGCCCAGGTCTGCGCGGGCTAGCTCCAGTGATCGTTTGGCCTGCTCCCTTCTCCACCCAGCCCGCAGGGCAGCCTTACCAGCCATCTTTGCAACCTGGGGAGCTCCAGGACCTGTGCCTCCTGGTCAGCTAATCTGCATTTGCAGCACTCCTGAGTCAACAGCCCAGCTCACAGTAACCAGCCTGCACAAGCCTCGCAATCCAGTCAGACCAGAAGCCTCTCAAAACCTCCCAGGGCAGAAGTTGCATCACCCACCCATCCATCCACCACCCAGCATGGAATTCCATCAGGGCGAGCAGGAAAAGGGCCTGCCACAGCCCAGTCTTCGATAAGATCGCTTGCAACACCACTGTGCAACAGCAGAGCCACCGGCTCCCCACAGTGCAAGTCCGTAATAAACCCACAGCTGACAGGACCTTCCCATGAGGAGAGAGGCCATTTCACAAGGGCAGGGTGCCACCTCCCACCTGGTAAGAGCTGGCAACTGAATACTGGGCTGGAAGCCTCCACACACCCAGACACTTACAACAGAAGCCCCATCCCTCCTACAGGATCTAGATCCCCTACTGCAGCTGCAGGCTTGGTTACTGAGGAATTATAGGTTCTTGCTTTGTGCTTACAGGGCACAGAGTTATTGCCACATGCCCCTGGAGAGTCAGACCACCATCTGCCAGAGCTTTCCAAGCTACTACCCTTTGAAATTCTTGTGGGAATGCTCCCTCCTTCCCCACCCAGACCTGGCAGAGAGGGGATGGCCCTGACACAGAAGACAGAGTGAGAACAGGCTAGGGCAGTTCAGCGTGTCTGGCCTATCCTTACTGCTAGTGCCATTTGTGCAGAAGATGGAGTGACACAAACCTGAGGAAACCACGGGAGGTGTCCCGTTTCATCAAAACTCTGTTCACGAAGGGCTCTTCGGGCACTGTGGCAGATGAACCAATCCAGAAGGGAAAAAAATATTTGACAAGCCACCACGAGGCAGCACATACAGTTACGAGAGGCTGATCAGTGTTTATGATACCAGAACAACTAGCAACAGACTCAGACCAGTGGTGACGCACATCAAGTGTTTGCAGTCTGCCACCAGCTGCAGTGCTCAGTGTACAGCTCCGTGCCACACTCCCAGGAGGACCCTGTCACCCTCAGCCCCTGCACGGGGAGGGGAGGGCGCTGCAAAACACAATTCCCTGGCTCGGATGCCCACAGCCCTGCTGCGGTGCATTCTTATTCCTGAAGCAGGGGCCATACACACACCCCCCCCAACACAGGCACAGGCAGCACCTCACACCCAACCAGTCCCATCCAACTGGAAACCAGCCAGAGCTCACTTGATATTTATTAGCTTTCACACCCTAACAGTGACCTAGTGACTACCAGGTGTGGTGACTTCCCACTGCAAGCCAGTATTTGGTAACCAAGGCCGGTGAACACTACAGAGCAGGCAGGTGTGAGGAGTGTCTTCAGCCAGGCTGAAGCAGGCACAGCTCGAGGACTTCGTGCTACAAACCCCAGCCTCCCATTTGACCCTACAGAGCATACTGCGTGCCGAGGCACCGTTTGCAGAGCTGCAATTCACATCTGTATGCCAATAAGACACCCAAAGGGAAAAATCCAGTGCATTAATGAAGTCTGTGTATTCCACCAAGGGTGATGAGGGTTACGCTGGTTTGAAGGCAACGTTGAAACAGTTACTCTAAAGCAGCAAGTGGTCACTAGAAACCCGTTTCTCAAAAGCACCAGCCGTTCCATTCAATTTATACAAGAGTTGTTTTCCTTAAAAAAGGTGACATCATGCTCAAGCAAGAGGCAAGAGAAATACAAAAAGAGCTTTATGGCTCCACACAAGATATGCAGATGAGAACAACATACTCCCAGCTACACCCAGACATTGAAAGGGCAGCCCCTCAGAGCACAGCAGTGTCTGGCACATCGGGTCAAAACAGAGGGAGCTTTGTTTAGGAGCAAGTGCAGCATAACTGGGGGGCTGCTGCTGCTGCTGTCAAGCTTCAGTGTCTTTACAGCACTCGTTCCCAGGGATGCCCTGTGCACAGTAACTGGAAAAAGGTACTGGAATTGAGAGCGAGATGACAAGAGCATGAATGCAGGGTGCAGATGCAGAACAAGCCACCAAGCAGAGAGGCAAATCCAAAGTGGAGTTTGGAATCGCAAGACTTATCTGTGTGAGACAGAAGGAGACACTAGTTTTAAGAGAAGTTTAAGTGTTTGTGTACAGCAAACTTTGCTTAGGGAGCTTTCGGATGCTAGCGTTAAGGCTCTTCCTCTGCAGCGCAAGTACCTGGCCTCTCCTTGGTTAGCAGTAAGACCCACGCGGAGCAGCTGTTAGTAGAACCCACCACAAACCCCAACAGAAAGCCGTGTAGCAAAGTTGCAGAAACATACAAATTCAGCTACTTCCACAGATCAGTTCATGATCCAGCCCATCTCAAGCCTGTTATGGCAATTCCTAAGGAATCCACTCGAGCGCTATCCACAGCCAGGAGGAATCCCGAGACCGTGGCCCAGTGGCTCCAGCAGGCAACTAAGCCACATTACCTTAGGAAGCCTTTCCCAGTGGGACTGGGAGTTGCACTCAGAGTTCAAGTCAGAACCCTTTCAGGCCAGCACAGCACTTAGTGTTACACATGCAGATCACAAGGACCTAGAGTTAGAGTACAGCATGCCGCAGGGAAGCCTCCACAATCCTCGAGGCAGAGATCTGTAGAAGTAACCTAGACAACAGAGTGCCATTGATTCTCCAACTATGAAAATCACAGCAAACCAAGCAAGCTCCGGCGGTCTAGCCTGCTAAAGCGAGAGGCAAACACCAGCCAGCTCATATTTACATGGAAGTCATGTCATTCAGGGCGTGGTCCAGTTCCTCACTAATTGCTTTGTACTTCAGTTTCTGGGCATAGAGCTCATCTAGAAGAGGTTTAGGAGGAGAACAAAAGGGAAACAATGAGGGAAGGCAGAGTTCTTCCAACACCCTGGGGCAGGAAAAGCAGTATGGGATTCATGAACAGAAGAAAATGAAGTTAGATGTGGAGCCATCACGACTCTGTCTTAGTTCCCGACTCTGTCTTAGTTCCCGACAATGAACGGGAGGGTTCCGACAGCCTGAGGACAGTCTGACCAGCAAGTGCCTTCCAGGATTACAAGCCAGCTCCAAGGTGAGCAGAGCCAAGAACTCAAACCACACCAGCTTGTGAGAACAAGCTGCCCAGCTAGGTCAGCAAGAACCACTGACAGGAGGAGTAGCAGGAAAGGGCAACTCCATCCACTCCGGGAGAATCTTGCTACACCTAAGGAAGGCACAGATCAATGAGGTGCTTTGTTCTCACCTTCAGTCTCAATACAAAAACCTGTGTGGAAGAAGTCAGTCATGTAATAGTCTCGGGCATCATAGGGAATTCCCGTTGTGTCATACACAGCTAGGCAGTGTGAGCTGAACAGACAGGCTACACCCGTGTTCTCCATCAGATAATGGAGCAGACAAGCAGATCTCCCACTTTCAGGGAAGGATGCAGTCCTGAAACTCAAACTGATGCACTCCCTGAGCACTGCACAGAGCTGACACTGACTTCTCCCAGCTCTGGCTGCCTAGGTACAGTACAGCTGGTAATGTTGTTAACAGCTCCACAGAGCCCAGAGAACTTTGTCAGTTGTCATAAACTAGGTCGCTTCAGCAGCAAGGCTGGAGACCAGAGCCAACTCTCAATCAACGTGTTTCAAGGGGAACATGCAGGGATTTGGCAGAGTTTTTTGCAGTTCCCAATAAAAGCTTGCCCTGGATCATGAGGTGGCTCATATTGCTGCTTGGCAGCAGTTCTGGAACAGCTCAGCTGACACCATTGCTATTTCTAGATAAAAAAAAATAAGTCTCCTGAGTAACTCCAGACAGTAGGATGTGGCGTTGAATCTCCAAGACCTGGCACTAAAAGACCAGAAAGGTACATGCTGTGGTTGAGGCAGGAAGCCTGTAATAGTTTTGGTTTACCAGCACCACCACTCCAGCCACAGCTATCCACAGAAGAATCCAGCTACAGCCCCAGATTTAAGGGAGGCAGTTGGAACCTTCTCCTTCCACGACTTGGGGAACGGTAGGATTCTGCAACGGCCGGCCTCGAGAGTGCTCCTCAAGTACTGTGAAACCAGGGACAGGAGGAGGAAAGGAACCCATCCTTGGCACAGGCTGACCACCACACTGCATGGATGGGACTTCTGGTGATTTCATCTTGAACTAAGACCGATACCGGTCCTAAGTCTTCATGGGGGCTGTTTCAAGACCCACTGACTACTGTGGCTGACTTGCAGCAACACTGTCTGCAGCAGACAGCCACATGCATGAGATTCTGAACACAAGTATGTTATTGTAACCAATTCCTGTTGGGTTCAGGCATTTTTTCCCTACGCCACTCCTTAAACTGGGCTAGGTTGGAGCGTAGGAATCCAGTTACGTTCCTGAGGACATCACAACCAAGACACACCAGCTGCACTATCTGTCACTATCAGTCAGATACGGCAAGGTGTTTGGATCAAGAGCTTGAGGCCTGCCACAGCACAGCCAGGGAACTGTTTTCAGAGTAGATACATGGGGCATGACTCTTGAGCCCAGAGGCACCAAGCCTCACCTCAGAAGCCAAGTTAGGTCATGCTCCAAGTACTGAGGAGCAGAGCAGCGTCTCCACTCTCCAGCTACCTGGGAGACAGCCTTCCTCAGATCCCCCACTCCTCACCACGTATTCTTTGGCTTCCCATCCCCAGAATGTACCTTCCAAATCATCAATTGTCTTCTCCAGCTTGGCTACAGACCGCTCAGCAAATTCAGCACGGGTCTCCGCCTGCCAGACAGAAGTGAGCCAGTTAGTACAACAGCTTTGGGATACAGCAAAGGACAACAGAGGCATCAGCCTGAGGACAAAGTCTCCCACCCAATCAAGCTGAGGCCAGTTTACCCAGCTGAGCCATCCCAACATGGTCACTCACCTCTTTGAGTTTATCAGTCAGGATCTTGATCTCTTCTTCATATTTATCCTCTTTTTGAGAGTACTGTGGAAAAGGAGAGGAGTCAGCAATCTGCAGCCTCAGGCATCTCCCACTCCAGAGAGCCCACAGCTACAGAGGGAGACTTAAATTCCTCACTGCAGCGCAGGTGCCCACAGAAACTTCCAACTGGGAGTTGTTCACACCCCTACCCTAGTCCAACAGAACTGGGTCCGGCAGCAAGTCCCACATCATGCACGTAACACAGACTTGGGCACAGAAAAATTCTCATCCCAGCAGCGTTAACATCTTGGCTGATCGAGTCTGCCCCAAGGCAGGGAAGGGCAGCCAGACTTCCCGCACTCCTGGCTTCTACAGTCAGCATGAGCCCTGCACTGAAATCCGTTAGCTCTCCCAGGAGAACAAACGCAGCTCTCCTTGCTTGCTTAAGGCTGCCGTTGCATCGTTTCCATCCCAGTGGGTGCTCTGCTGTCACACACCCTCCTAGCAAAACAGAAATCTTTCTGGCCCTTGGACAAGCAGCCCTACCTTCTCAGCCTGAGCCTCAAGAGACTTGAGATTGTTGGTGACATTCTTCAGCTCTTCTTCCAGCTCGGAACATTTACTGTGGGGTTTCGTAAAGAAAATGGGGGGGAAAAAAGGAAAAGAAGAAGTGGGAGGGAAAGACAGGAGACACAAGAAGTGAATCCACGTGCAGGGAAGACCACCAAGTTTGTTAGGAGACGGTCTGCAATCAGACTGGATGAGACCCTGCTTTCAGGCACTTGTGCGGAAAGCAAGTTCCCTTCCCGCCTCCAAGTTTGTATTTTCAGTATTCTGCCAGCAAACGTGCAGGGCACTGAGCTGAGCAGCTGAGACATGGACACAGATTTCTGCTGGGCCTGGAGTCTTCAGGTAGAAACTGCATGTTTAGTTTGCTGTAAGGAGGGAAGCTGTTCTGACAGACAGATGGACAGCCACCACCAGACAGGAATATTTACAGGCAGAGAGGACAGGACATTTGAGGAGATAGAAAGACGCAGTTAAGCTGAGGGAAGGAGCGCAGCAAGAAGACCACAAGAGTTCTGGTTTAATGGTTTGAGAAGGGAAAGGTTAGTACCTTTTCTTCGGCAACAGACAGACACTTCAAGTTCTGGTCCATCACTCTGATCTGCTCCTGCAGCTCCCGGCAACGACTGTTAGTGACGGTCACACGATGGCACAAGCCAGGTGGGGGCAAGGGTCAAAAGGAGCACCAATAACACAATACCGCAGAGCAAAAAAGGGGTAGGGGAAAAACACAAAAAAGTCATGGTCACGACATGCATGTCTGGGCAGGAAGCACAGTGCTACTGCTGCATACACACTAACTTTGTTAGACAAGGCCCAGAGTACAAAGAGGCCCTGACCAGCTCCTCAAGGATCAGCTAGAGCATCCGGACACGTGAAAGGAGCCAAAACACCAAAATTTGTGTGTCTGCTCCAAGCAAAGGAAGTTCAGCTTGCTGCTCAGCAGTGCAGAAGCCTGTAGTGGTTACTGCAAATATTTTTAAGAGACCAACCTCAGCCACAGTTCTGACCTTGGACATCCCACATGCCACTTCAGCTCCTGGCCCGGGACGCCTCTGCCACTTTAGGACAAGTGCCGTGCATTCACGTGCTCCGTAGCAACGTGTAAGGATCTAGTGACCATACATACAAAGCAGTGCTGGTGAATACCAAGGGGAGAAGGATTCTCTGGCCTTGCTAACTAGAGAGTCCCTCCATGCAAAGAGGCAGTACATCTCTACGAGGCAGATAGTGTCACAAATTCCGCATCCTCAGTGGATCTAATCCTGTTCTGACCAGGAAAGTGCTTCCAACTCTTTCATCTAAGGCTCTAATCCCACCCTGTGCTTCAGGCCTTGTGTAACAAGGTTAGAAATGCTGTGTTAGTTCCCATGCAAAGGTAGACGTGCCAGTTACATGCAAGCAGATTACTCACGACTCTGCAAGCTCAGCTCTCTCTTCAGTACGCTCCAGATCTCCTTCTATGATCACCAGTTTCCGAGCAACCTGGAAGGAAGAAATTGAGTTAAGAGGAAGGTAGGCTGTGCAAGACGTAAAGGGAATGCCTGCAGGAGTCACTGGAGCTGCCAGAGTCTTTTGGCTAAGGGGAACACTGATGTAGCTCTGCTGAGAGCCAGGATCTCCCCGAGACTCGCTGAGGAAAGCCCTGCCAGCAGGAAGAGGAGCTGCCTCTCCTGGCCAGGGTCAGCTGGACCAGAGCATCCAAAGGTCTCACCTCCTCATACTTCCTGTCTGCCTCCTCTGCAATGTGCTTGGCTTCCTTGAGCTGGATCTCCTGCAGTTCCATCTTTTCCTCATCCTTCAGGGCTCTGTTTTCAATGACTTTCATGCCTCTGCCCAAAAGAAAGCATAGGGAGGGGAGATGCATAAAACAATCCTGTACAAGCCAGCAGTGTAATGCGTTTCAGAGCATTAACAGTGCTCCCCCGGGACCACGTTGCTTCCTTATGAGCTGCAACACCTCTTGAGTGCACAGCGTAGCACAGGAAGGCAGTCACCGCTGGGGTGATGCAAACACAGCAACCTCGATTGCTCAGAATTAACTGTTCCTCGGAGCATTACTCCAGCAGCTCATTGGGGCCCTGGACCAAGGGAAATGTGGTGCTGCTGAGAAGAACAAGCCAGGCTGTCTTAGTGACTCCACACAGCTGAGCCGAGCACTTTCCAGGCTGGAATGCAGGAAGAGCCAAGTCCATCTTTATGGCAGGACATCAGCTAGGTCAGGCTGCTCACTATAGCGTGTGCACTGATGAAGCACATCAGCCAACTGGAAGTGGACCACTCCCCTCTGAATCACACTGCCAGGTCAGAGGACGTCTGCCAGAAGGCAGGATGCTGGCAGAGGCAGTGGGAAGAGAGACTTCCCCACGAGCAGCCACCTTTACGAGTCAACAGTGTCCCACACCCCACTTATTTCTCTTCCCTGGGAGGCGGGGATGCATGGTAGCACACAGCTCTTACTCCTTAGCCTCAGGTTCCAAGATACTCACTCAAGGCCAACAGCATTGTTTCATTTGCTCCACGTAAGCGGGTACCGACTCCCACATCCAGCCTTGATGTGGTATCTACTTCCCACCCTCCAGGAAGCCCAAGAGGTTGATGGCACCGGGCCCTCAGTCAGGAACAAGTCTGAGACATTTGACAGAGTAAGAGCAGCAGCCCTTGCTCACCTTTCACTTTCATCTGCAGCCTTCTCTGCCTCTTCCAGCTTCTGCAGAGCTGTGGCAAGGCGCTCCTGGGCTCGGTCTAACTCCTCCTCTACCAGCTGAATACGGCGGTTCAAAGATGCCACTTCTGCCTCAGCCTAGAGGGAGCAGATAAGGGTGACTCAGTCTGTGGCAGGTTTAGCAGTTAGTGCAGGGCAGCTGAGGTCTTCAGGTCAGCAGCAGCACACAGGAAGCCAAAACAAAGCCAGGGTGCTTTATCCACTTTCTTACAGAGGCTGCACTCCCGTACGCTTGCACACTCGTTAAGCATAGCAACATTTTACACACGCGCGCTTTGTCTGGGCAGCAGTCATCCTGCAGGTTCCCCGCCTGTCAGCTTGAGCTGACGTGACAGTTTAAGCCATAAACGCTAAGTAGATGACTTACGCTAATGGGTCTTCTCTGCAGCTGCTGTAATCCTGCCAGGCCATCAATCACAGGCCTATTTATCCACCACACCAGAGCTCTGTGACAGCTACCATTTAGCACAAAGTCAGTTTACTCATGTGATCAGGACATGAGCATTGCTTGAAACAAGTCCTCTCGTCAGCAACGTGAGAAAGATTAACAGCTTCAGGTTCAGAGGGCTGCCAAGCTGCATCAGGGCACTGGCAGGCATGGCTTTCTACAGCCTTGCCCTGACCTGGGGCAGCAGCAGGACTCAACCGGTCGCCGCAGTGCCCACAACCCCAGAGAGCCAGCTGTGCCCCAGGCTTCCTCCCTCCCAGTGATTCACTAATAGTCCAGAGAAAGAGCAAAAGCCTCACCCAGTCTTGAGACAGGTTGAAGAGGCTGTTCCCCAGCAACAGCCACATGCAGACAGCCACCTCGGTTCAGTCATACATGCCAGGAGCCGGTGAAATTGCTGAGAGCCCGCAGGCGCTGCGCATTTGCCAGAAGCGTGACCACAAAAGTGACCAAAGCTTTAATGAATCAGCAGAGATCAGAAGCCATCGCACACCCCCAGCGAGGCCTGTTACAGCAGCACTGCTATCAACCACAAGGCATCTGCTTACAGCCCAGTCTGTGTCAACCCCGACCAGAGCCTGGGGGCAAGCCTAAATGCTTCAGGGACACTAACGCCCCCCAGGGAAACCCAGCAGCCTGCTCTCCAGCAGGAGTACTGCGCTGGTACAAAGATGGACAGGGCTGCAGGCATTTCAGGGCAGCGCTGTGATCTTCTACAGAGACCCGTGCACATGCCAGGCATATATGAAATATCCCAGCTCCTTGTAACAAAGCAGCCTGCAAGGACACGCTGCTTCTAACCATGCCCAAGGAGGGAGGAGCAGAGAGATGAAAGAAGGCAGTGTTAGAGCAGGACCCGACAAAAATCGCACTCAGTTCCTGGGAGAAGCTGTCCGAGCTCTTCCCCCCGGTTGGCAGCGAGGCATTTGGCACCCCTATCCCCCCCCCCAGCCTGTTTGAAGAGCAGGTTGTGAGAACACAAGTTGAAGAGGAGCTCCGGCACACCCTGCTCTTCACCAGGGAAAGACGCAACACTTTGATGCTCAAAGGTGGCTGCGCTGCAGCAGGCTGCCCCAGAGCCAGCCCCGCCAGCACGTTCCTCCTCCGGAGGAAGCGGTCTGCTCAAAGAGGAACAAAATGATACATTAAACAGAACTGGGAAGGAGACTGCTTGACACAAGTCTTCTGCCTATTAAAGAGGCAACAAGCTGTCAAGGTGGAGAGCCTCCTCCTTCTCCCAGGGGATGGAGACACACCAGTACAGCAGGCCTCCGCTTCCTGACCCGCTGAACCACATCACTTAGCCCTGACTTCCTGCAGGCAGTGCTTAACCCTCCCAAAAAACCCACCCTTGCTTTTAAAGAACTGCCTCTCTTTCTCTCTCTACAGAAGGGTCCTTACAGCCCCCTTTCTGCTTCTCCTCACTAGATACAGCTGAGCTGTCAGGCTTCCCCAGAGCACGGGGGTGACACTTCCAGGCAGCCCTGCTGCCAAGCAGTGCGTTCTCCTTACTCCATGCTTCCTTCAGGAAGGCAACCCTGAGTCAGGGAGCTACCAGGAACCCTCCAAGCCAAGGCAAGCTTTGCCTCAGCCTTCGAGGCTCACCATCGCTTCCCCAGGCCACAGAGATCTAACAGGAACATTCCTCGGGACCCAAGGGCCAGACCACAGGGCGAGTACAAGACGCCACTACACTGAGAGCGCTGGTTCTCTCTCACCAGTAGCAAGGCTCCAGCGAGATGGGAGAAACATGCACGTTCCCATGACAACACCGCTATCGCAAGAGAATTCCTTATGTGGCTGCAAAGACAGAGCCCAGCTGAGGTCTGGGAGTGGCCTCGTCCCACTGCACGGCAGGAGCGTCTGCCACCAGCCTCCACAGCAAGTCCCAGTTAGTCCCACAGCCGCAGCACCATGCCGCTCCTCACGGCCATCACGCCTGGATACTGGGGGTGGAAAAGCCTCAGCTTCATGTTTTAAACAGAATCAGCAGCAAAGTCGCTGTGCAAATTTGCAGAGAGTCACGCTCAGATCCAAGCCAGTCGCCTGCAAGGACCTGCCCTGTGTCACCCCATCCGCGTCCCCATGATGCCACCAGCCTTGCCTGCCTCCCTGTCCCGACAGAGCTGCGAGAGCGGACACTCGCCAGGTCAGATTCAGCCTTGGCTGCTCCCTTCTTCCCTCCCAGCAATCCCAGTCCAGTCCCTGCCTGTCCCCAACACACTCTCACAAGGCTGCCGGTCCTGAGGGCAGCGGAGATCCCCGCTTGCCGGGATTTGGGCGGGATGCGGATGGAGCCCGGGAGTTTTCCCACCGGGGCTCCTGCGCTGGCAGCACCAGGAGTGAGATCACTTCCATTTTATCAGCACATGCCAAGGCTGCTCACACCTTTGTGCTTGCAACACTGGGCCAGACAAGATGGCCGGGTTCCTCCCCTTCCTCCGGCAGTTCCGAGCCAGCAGGCGAGCGAGAGACCC